TATCATCAGCAGGTAACTGTCGTTGGCGTTTAGGTGTGGGACCAGAGTTGGTCCGACGTGGAATGGGCCAGCGATTCGAAAATTGCCACACCGTAGAGGGAGAAGCCGGAAGCATGTCAAAGGAGAGCGGAGGTCAGATAAATCGAAGGAGTCAGTCGAGACCTCAGTACCTGAAGCGGGTGAGGAAACAGCACCGGCAAGAGGTACAGAGGCATGAGGAGTGTCCGAAGAGTGGTCCAAAGACGAGGCGGGGTCTGAACGGGGCGCAGTATCAAGAAGGGGCCCGGGGGTAGCAGGTTCATGGACTGGGGCTGCCATGGTTAGGTTACTTCTTTCTTTTTGTTTTTAAGAAAAAAAAAAAAAAAAAAAAAAAAAAATAAAAATATAAAAAAAGAATAAAAAAAGGGGGGACCGGGGAGGGATAGTTCCTAGGAGGAATGAAAGGGCCAGAAATCTCCCTCCACGCCCAAGAGGACCTCAGCACCGCAAGTAGCGTAGGTGCAGCATGGAACCCGTGCCATACCCTACCCATCATGCCAGTAAACCAGCAATCAGGGATAGCAACCTCACATCTGCCGAGCTACCTCAGTGGACAAAAGAGAGGGCGGCCGGATATCCGCCACAAAGCATACCTCCTTCGGCCACCACCCCCGGAATCCGAAAGGTTGCTTCCAGAGATACACCCGTCGCCCGAGAGACACCCAAAGCCACCCTCCGGGATACCGGAGAGGGATCAGGACATCCCCAGGCAATCCAGGTTCCACGGCAAACTACGCCACCGCCAAGAACCTCAATGGAATGGGATGTACCCCGGTACCCTTTCCCCTACCTAGGAACTAGCGTGCCTGTGGGAAAAAATCCCAAAGGCCAAAAAGGAAGGGCAAAAGGGAGGGGTGGAGGAGGAGGAGGAGGAAAGCAAAAAGGGGAGGATGGGATAGGGAAGGGGGGATTGGGGGGTAATTAGGTTCGGTCTGAGGAAGGAGACCGACAGGTCTAATTCCTCAAACCAAGAGCCTCTTCACTAGAACAAGGAGCCCCCCTTGAAGAGGAGTTAGAGGTGAAGAACCGGGTATGTATAGAGACTGGGAAGGAAAAATGATCAGGTTGCAGAAGAGGAGGGGTGAAAGGAGATTTTAACAATGGGGATGCTTTGGACTTCTGAGGAGGAGAGGGGTGATGGGGAGTAGGTCTTGTAGACACACAAACTTGTGAGTGAGAAGAGGAAGAGGTGAGAACAGAATGGTGCCAAGGTAGGGACCTCCGAGTCCAGGACAGCAAAAGAATTAGAGACAGGTGACTGTGGAAGGGGTGATCACAAAGGAGGCTGCAGAAGTTGGGACCCCAGAGGAGGGGGGATGTTTAATAAATCAAGAATAAGAAATATGGGGAAAGTTTCCCTTGGAGGCATAGATGAGAGACTGCCACAGCACATGGAAGGCCTTCTGCCTCTTTGAGACAGTGGATTTCACGCTCATTTAAGTAAACTTGGCAATGGCGAGAGTAAGATGGGTGAGCCTCATGACAATTAAGGCAAGAGGGAAGTAGACTACAAGATGTATTGGTATGGTCGTCGGTGTTATGCAGGTTTCTGCTTTGCATTGTAATGTATATATAGTGGAGAAATGTGCCATAATTTTTATGAACTATGACATAATTGTAAATCATAAGGTTTGAACTATGGATAAATGTCACTCATAACTTTAGAAATATGCTATGCATTGGTGGGTAAAGTACTTTAAACTATAAAATGCAAGGAAATCCTGCTGGGACTTATTTTCCAAGTTAGCGGTTAAGCGCGAGTGGCTTGGCTTGGGGCAGTCATGTGAAGCGAACAGGAGAGAGTGAAGATGCTGTCCAGGCACTGGGACTCTGAGCTAAGTTTGTACTCATTTTGTCAGGCATCTCGAGCCATAGGCTCTTTTATGGTTTACCAGCATGCTCACCTAGGCTCTGATATGGTCAGGGATCTGCGGGATAAGTGAGGACTGAGGACATAGGAGGTAATGGGGTTAGTGGAGTAGGGAGGGCCTGGCACTCACTGGGCTAGGTGTATGTGTTTTGCTGGACTCTCCAGCTGCCTGCTTCTTCTGTACCGTTATTTGGGCGCTTAGGAGAAGAGACATATGAAGGTGGTATTCTAGAGTGTGTATATAGCATTATAACTAATAATTGTTTATTTTCCTAACTAGGAATTTTGCCTAACCCTCTGATAACCAGCCCATTGAAGTAACAAATGCTGGTTTAGCACTTTCAATTTTTACTGGGATAGCCCTGGGTGGCCTGTTTCAGCATGAGATTTGTGTAACTTTTACCTTTGCCCTTAGACAAGGTCTTAGCCCCCAGGTAATCCCACGTTCTGCGTAACAGTCGGCACCATAGACTGAGCATTCAGCCATGGACCTGCAATATTTTGCTGGATGATGAAAACACCAGCAATTTCTACACTGTTGCAGTGTAAGGATCACCTTTCAAACTTGTAAGCGGTATCCCGCTATATAAACAGAGGACGGAAGCTCATGACAGTCAAAAGTTAAGCGAGCTACATTGCAAGGGTATCATCTCTGCCTGCAAGCAGGGAGCACATAAGTGTCTACTTTGAGAAGTAGGAGGTCTTGGAGTTCTAGCTATTCCAGAATGTCATCGCCACGTCTGGAAATTCGGTTGGACAAAGGTATGGAGCAGAATGACAGTACCACTACAAGAATTGAGGGAATGATGTTTTTCAATAGTTACAGGAATAGTATCGATAGTTGTAAGGAGAGAAAGATTATGAGCTTAGTTAGCATTCTGGACAGTTATGATGCATGTACCACTCTTGACAGAATGAAAGGATATATCTGTACCAACATGGCGTAGGAGTGCCTTGCCTATGTACTATGGTCGGAAAGATATGAAGTAGAGGACGTTGGTGATAGCGTAAAAAACTTAGTCCATTAAGTATTTTGAAGCAAAGCGTGTAAAGGGAGTGCGTGACGTGCTGGTCTTTTCTGGGTAGAATGAGAAGGAAGTGAAAAAGTATCATCAGGTAATGGTCTTCAAGATTTCAGTGTGGGACCAGAGTTTGTCCATTGTGGGACGAGCGGGCCATCTGAAAATTGTCACACTGTAGAGGGAGAAGCTGGAAGAAGAGCGGAGGTCAGTCGAAACCCCAGTACCTGGAGCAGATGTCAAAACGGCACCAGCAGGAGGGACAGGGGCATTAGAAATATCCGAAGAGTGGTCAAATAACGAGGCAGGGTCAGAACAGGGTGCTGTATCAAGAAGGAGCCTGGGGGGAAACAGGTTCATGGATTGGGAACTCCATGGTTAGGTCACTCCTTTCTTTTTGTTTTTTAGAAAAGAAAAGAAAGAATGGAAAGAAAATAAAAAGAAAAAAGAATAAAAAAAGGGGGGAATGTGGAGGAATAGCTGCTAGGAGGAATGAAAGGGCCGTAAATCTCCCTCCATGCCCAAGAGGACCTCAGCACTGCAAGTAGTGCAGACGTGGAATGGAATCTGTGCCATACCCTACCCTTCATGCCAGTAAACCAGCAATCCGGGATAGCAACCTCACATCCGCTGAGCCACCTCGGTGGACAAAAGAGAGGGTAGCCAGACACCCGCCACAAAGCATACCTCCTTTGGCCACCACCCCCTAGAATCCGAACAGTAGGCATCAGAGATACACCCGTCGCCCAAGACACACCCAAAGCCACCCCCCGGGAGACTGGAGAGGGATCTGGACATCCCCAGGTGATCCAGATTCCACAGCAAACTACATCACAGCCAAGGACCCCAACAGAATGGGATGGACCACAGTACCCGTCCCCCTACCTTGGAACTAGAAGGCCTGTGGGGAGAATCCCAAAGGATGAAAACAGGAAGGGGATAGGGGAGGGATGGGGAGGGGAGGAGGAAAGGGAAAGTGGGGATGGGGAGGATGGGATAGGGAAGGGGGGATTGGTGGGTAATTAGGTTTGGTCTAAGGAAGGAGATCAAAAGGTCTAATTCCTCAGACCAAGAGCCTCTTCACCGCACGAAGGAGCCCTCCTTAAAGAGGGGTGCACATTAAGTGTGTGAGCTCTATTAGCTCACATGCTCACTTGTCTGTCATTCTCTTGGCAGTTAACTTCAAGCCACTCTTCCCTATGTGAGCAAATGATTAATGAATCATTGTTGCAGAGTGGGTGAAGCATGTACTATAAATAAGGTCTTGTGGGAGTCAAAAGGCACTGGGTTTGGACAAGTGAATACCGGAAACCAATCCAGGTACTGAGGAGGATTTACGGCTGTACTGGGGAGGGTAGTTTCACAATAATTGGGCTTTTGGAAAGTGGTTTTTATCTCATTTATTGTAAGGTAAAAATGAGGAGGATGGTAGCTTCAAGAATAAAAAAAAATTAGAGGAAACCATATATCCACCATCTCCACTGTCAGACAATGCTATTATACCCTGAACATCATCATTTACCCTACCTGGTAAATACCACCAGTATAGTACCTCCAGCACTGACTGAGCTAGGCTTAGCAAAACTGTTTTAAGACAAAAGCACTAACCGTGTAATCATCTTTCTGCTAATAATGGCAGTGGACAAATGGAATGAATGCCAGGAGTCATATTCCTTTAACTGCCACCCCTGGATCAGTAGGCAACCAGTATACTCTCATTGTCAGAGGCCATGCCAGGCAGTCACCCAATGTTTCAGAGGGTCATCTGACATACCCTAAGACAAGTCTAATTTCCATTGGGTGCAATGATGACCATCACTGCACTATCAATTGAAGCCATGTTAGAAGAGATACAGCTGAAAGTAGTTCTTTTCCCCTCTGTCTAGGAGAGGGGGAAAGATATTTAGATTTGATCCAGGTAAAGGGACAAGATGCCCTATTCCTTGGATCAAGAGCCACTTTGCCATGAGGAGGAGACCCTTTCCCCCCTCCTGAAGGGGCATACTAGGAACAGTATTGTACAACAACTTGAACATTGCACTATAAAGATTCATGTTAGAAAAAGGTAAAAATGAATTGTTAGTATTTCTTAAAAAAATTAATACATAATGAGATTCATTCTATGAGTCATCGAAGATTTCTGTGATGAATAACTGAGCTTTTAATTTGCCTTGCTTACAGTATTAAGAATCTTAATGTTTCCACATGATTTTAACAAAAGAATTATGCATCAGTAATACAGTACAAACATTTTAAATTTAATTTTCATTATAAACCACTAACTAGGCATACTCACTTTTGTCACAGTAAAATTCGAACACATTATCACAAATTTTAAGACACTCACCAAAGCCAACACAATTCAACTGTGAGCACACTGTCATCAGGTAAGGCACATGATAAATGTACACAAATATAGACCCAATACACCTGGAATTTGATGCAACTTTCTAGTATTACAAAATTTCTTTCTTGACATACAATACAGCAATTTGTTTCTGACTGTGCCTACTGTATGCCGTATTCTGAAGTCCCTTTTAAATACAACCAAATTAATTTAACTTTTCTATAAATTAATTTCTGAAACATATACTGAAGTTGACACTTTAAATGATTCACAAATGTTATAATACAGTTACTGAAAAGAAATCTGAATGACACATAAACAGAAATATGTAATACTTGGTAGAGATGCTCTTCCATGCAGCTAGAGACAATGGTAACTTAATTTATCTTAGGTGAACAGAGGCAGCCAAATGGTAACTGCACCACGTCTTCCGTAAACATAATATAACAACTGTTATATCTATAAACAAATGTACAACTGCCTACAACTATTAAATGCCTATAAAACAAAACTTAAAATGCTAGAAGAAACCATAATGGTTATCTGGAGCAAAAATCACGAAAAGTTTCCAGTTTGTGCTATTACATGTTCAGGAGAAACTTTCCATATAACTGTGCTTTTAAATGTACTGTATACAGTCTATGTAAAAGGGTGTTTTACTACATCATGCATTCTTATAAAAATATGAAAACTTACTTTCCCCACAATCAACTACATCTTCATCATTCAACAATTACATTATATAAGACAAATCTTGTGCTACCTATGCACTTGCTTTGAATCTAATAACAGTATCTTTCCAAAACTATTGTACACATGTGCACTAATTTAAGGCAACCTCAAAAGATACTGGGCTAAGTTTGCACTTTTGTTAGGCTTGCTTAGCATGTTACTTACAAATAAAAATGCAAAATATTGAAATGACATTGGCTGTTACAATAATAATTTGCATTAGTAAGACTACTAGGAAAAATCTGTTCCTAGGATAATAAAATTATGTTACAACAATGTTACAAAATCTTTGAGAAACAAATTTTGAAATTAGTCAATAATCTGTTTATGTGGCTATAGTTCTTGGCCTGCAAATTTAAGGTCAACAACATTATATTCACATATAAAAAAATTATTCAGTGTGTATGGTAAATAATGCAAAAGATGAAGTGGTGTTAGTGTACTGAGAACCAATACCAGAGGATATAAGCCAAAGCATCTTAAGCCTTAGCTAAAATGGAATGACATTAAAGCACATATACGAGTCTGAAGGCTAGTCGTATAGCTTTACCTTAATTAGTTTTGTAATCTTTAAGAAATACCAAATAAATGAAGAATTTAAACCTACAAGAGTAAAAATATATATGCACATTTGAGTATGTGCATTCCATTCCCCCCCTCCCCACAAAAAATAACAGATTCAAATAAAACAGGAAATAACTTACAATATTACTGAAATACCATATAATCAAACAGTGAAATGTAAGGGATATTGTGTCAAGTACAATTTAAATAAACCACAATCATGGAAAAATAAATGAAAAAAGCATGACCTGCCATGCAAATATGTACCATGGGGTATGGGGTGGGAGGTGGCAGATATGTAAATACTGTGCCACAGCTTGACATCAATCTTGCTATATGTTTGTACTTTTTAAACAGGTGTAGTTGTGAATAACATTACACAACAAAAATAAAATATCCTGTATTCACTTGGAAACACTGATCACAAAAACCTAATTCAAACTGCATTGATTACATTTATAACTGACTTAAGTCTAATATCTTAATCTTCTCATTACTAGATATTTTGGTAACATAAGTTTAATTCCTTTTTGTTGTTTGTTTGTTTGTCAGAGACAAATCACCGGACACAGGTCTTAATTATGTGATGACCCTCTCAGTGACTCATGAAGAGCATCTTAAAAACTGTCAATCCTTACATAGCTGTGTCCTTGAATCAAGGTCACAGATATATATTATGATACTTTTAGTAAACACTGGGATATTTAACACAGAAATTAAGAGATGCGTTTTGTGAAAAATACTGGGCCACTACCCTTCATTATTCTGCTCACCTCTTCATAAACACCGGGTCAAGTTAAATGACATATCACAAGTATTTATAAAATCTCATCACCGTATTCAGCCAAATTTTTTAATTAATTTATCTGGCTTTTCACAGCGTCAATTACGAATTTAGCTTATAAAATTAAAACTATTGGTAACATGCAGATCACACGATGCAATTCAGAATAAGTAAATGTTTTTACTGCCAACTTACAATCCAAAAACCTAAGTGACACAATTGTAGATTAGAAACTATTACTAGAACTAACTGCTCTACCATAAGCTGCCAACTAGTAAGTAAAGAGGCACCCATACAGTGATACACAATCTAACAGTCAAACAATGGTTGAAGAATGTACACCTTATAACTAAGTATATATAAATTCAAGGCCAAGCCAGTACAGAGCATTATCGTCTTGGTTACTAGGCTCATGCTAGCAACATGCACTTTCTTTATGACAACATGCAGGAGGAAGAGGGTAGGAAATTTTATCTAACCTACTTATTTTAAATTTCATATATACCTTCTCTGATACTCTCTATCTCAAGAATCATGAATCCATCCCTAAGATATCCTAATTTATAAGGAAAGTTCAAAACATTCTCACTCCACACCATTTAACGTACAGCACTCCCTAGATTAACGTACAGCACTCCCTAGATTGCAATGACATTCCTAGAAAAGGGCTTTCAAGTAAATTCTTTCAAAGCAAGAGAGGTTTACCATAACAAATGAGGTGTTAAAATTCAGAGCCAGTCTCTAGACAGAATCATCAATAAATGAAATACTCAAAAGACAAACAACCTATACAACAGATGCACATCATGTTAGTAATGCACAATATTTATACAAATTTCCAAATAACTTTCCTAGCACTTGCTTTTTGAAACAATTATAATGATTAATCGTTACAAGATAAGGAGAGGTACTGGAATTTAATCCGACACCAGAGGACGGAAGACCCAAGGGAAACACGACAACATACAAAATACTGGGGAATTGATAGGGTAGACTGGAATAGAATGTTTGAGGGGTGAGAAATCAGTACTCAGAAGAACAGCTGAAACTTGAAAACTCACATGGATGGCAGGAAGTATTTTTTCAGCCAAAGGGTTGGGACCTTGACAAAGAGCAGGTACAACTAAGACAAAGTGGCTACAAGGCATGTTGAGAGGTGGGGGTCAGGAGCTAAAATTCAACATATGCAACCACATATAAGTGAATACATGTAGGCAAGTACAGTTTGATTTACATAACTTATTAATAATAACTGATATATTAAGAGACAAACTTGCTTAACCTATGACTGCTTACAAATGTCACAGCAACCCCTGCCAGAATGACTTAAGTGACTGGTTATATATGCTCTGGGACAAAAAAAATCTTAACCATGCAGAAAATAGGCTTGTATGTTAGGGAGGTGTGGGTGTTGGGCTAGTATTACTTTTACCGAGACCACAGGGTGATGTTTTTGTGCCATGCTTTAATGCTTTTATTTATATTTACCCCAACAAACATTAAAACAAAGGGGGTTAAAAGTAAGATTTACCTGTTTGATTTTGCCCATTACTATAAGTATTTTAAAAGCCTATCATATCAAGAGTTTAATGTAATTGAATGAGTTATGATGAAAGAATTTCTTCTTTTTCAGGTCACCCTACCTTGGTGGAAGATGGTCAGTGATAAAAAAGTTTCTATCTTTTATTATATTGTGCTATTTTATTGTGGAAGGAGGGAGGGAGCTAAGTTATGCTGTTAATCTGTATATATACTGAACCACCGATGCAAACTAAAATTATATTGGAGAAAAATTTGTATGAACAATAGTACTCGTTTCTGAACATATAACATGCCTAGGGAAAAAATCTGACCAAGCAATTCTCTTGAAGACGGGTTTTCAAGAAACACATCAGTGTCGCTAAGTGGCAGAGACTTGTCCTTTTTTTATTAACCCTTTCAGGGTCCGTGCCGTAGATCTACGGCTTTACGTTCAGGGTCCAAACCGTAGATCTAAGCCATGAGCTCAGCTCACTCTGATAAGCTGTGAGTGGTAAATTTGAGCCTAGATAGGAGAGAATACATCTATGTGGTATGTGTGCACCACATAAAACAAATCCTGCAGCACACAGTGTATAATGAGAGAAAAAACTGAGACCGTGATTTTCGATTAAAACAGCGACTTTGCAGTGTTTTTTCATATGTTTTTTATACTTGTATTTGTGATTTCTTGGTCCCATTTGATAGAATGGAAGCTATGTTACAGTAATAGAGATGATTTTAATTGGTTTTAGCACTGGAAATGGCTTGCAACTGAGCTCAGAGTAGCAGAAATGTTAAATTTTTGTCAAATGTTCAAGAGTAAACAAACGACCTCACACGTCTAATACACACCAGCTGGTGGGTCTAATATACATTCACAAATGTGGTGATGATATTTATACAATTATTACAATATTGCATAACAGTAAATCTTCTATGTTTTGGCTTGAATAAAAATTCATTATGTGAATAAAAAATCAAAATGGAATTTATTTGTAAAGCCTCAAATGTAACTAATGAACAGGAAATGTTAGTTTAGTGCCAGGAATACCTGCATTGTTTATTCTGGACCCTATTTTGAAATTGGAATATTTTGAACTTTGTGTTAAATTGGCCAAATTACCAATTTCCAATCACTTTATTTTGTAGTTGAAACAGTTGACAGGGTGATTTATTGTGCTCAATCGATAGAAGTAATACTAGTGAAATAGCTAAGAATTTGGTCGACTGGAATAATGTAATTGGCCTAAAATGGGAGTCAAGGTTGGCAAAATCGCAGATTCATAAATATCGCTGACACATCAAAATTCACGAGAGCATAATTTTGTCAATTTTCCATCAAATTTCGTACTTTTTGTTTTATTACCTTCAGAAAAAGATTCTCTACCATTTCATAAGAAAAAATAACAAATTTTTTTCTTGGGCACTTTGAAATTTGGCCTCTGGACCCTGAAAGGGCTAAACTGATTTGAATACTCAACTACAATAATAAAGACTTCATAAAACACTGCTAATGCCATCCTTTTGGTAATGCCACATAACTCTGACCAGTATCAACTTTGGTAAGTGACAAAATTGTTTTAAAGCATCATACTGATCCTACTAAAAATATTTTTTTTTTTATACCAGATCCTGAAGGACTACCACAAATATACTATACCTACCCCTTACCTAATACTGTACCTACTCTCCCAGTTCAACCTCCATTTCTACTTGCCCTGCTCCAGTTGGCAACTGGAAACATTCCAGGCGAGATGGGTGGACCAATGTTTCCCAAGAGGTTCCTAACACACAAACCAATGGTTATAGTAGTAGTTACATTCTTGATAACTGAATGTAATAAAAAATTAAGTAAAATTAACTTAAGAACATAAGGGAAAAACAAAGTTATGTTCCTTAGCCCCCCAAAAGCCAACCAAATTGCGTTTAGGTCTTGAAATAGTAAAAAAAAATGGTAATAATGTAATTGTAAGTCGATGATATGATGTGTCAATAAAAGATCCCACATTCACATCTCTGCTAGCAGACATAGGTGCTTTATTGTTCGGTTGTCCCATTCATTGTAACTGTATGAGGGTTATAAAGCAAGGGATAGTGGTTGGAATGTGAGGGCTGGGGCTAGAGCAATTGGGGTAAGGTGGTTCAGTGTGGGGATGGGGGATTGGGGGACTGCTGGCATGGGAGGTGGAGTATGCTAGGTGGTGGAAGGGTGTGGGTGTAATGGAGGTTAGAAATGAAGTGTGATGGCGACAGTGTTGGTGGCAGTCAGTGGCCTAGTGTGGATGATGAGTGACTGAGTAGTTGAGTGTGTAGTTGGTGGTGTGAGCAGTAATGAGGGTGGTGGATGGTTACGTGACAAGTGTATGGATGATGTATTAGGGAGTGTGGGCTATGAAAGCATGGATAAAGTGCATGCAAGGGGCTGTTGGAGTGAAGCTCTGTGGGCTTCAAGCTATGGGATAGTGATGTGTTGGTGGCCCAGTGTGAGTTGCAGTGTGGATGATGGGTGACTAGGTGGGAGAATGTGTCGTTGGTGGTGTGGGCAGTAATGAGGGTGGTGACAAAGCAATTAGCTGTGTGGACAACATGTTAAAGTGAAAGATTGAGTAAGGTGTAGGCATGAAGTCGTGGCAAAATGGAGTGGGTGAGGCCATGGAGCTAGGCATGGTGTGGTCTTAAGGCAGTGGAGGAATGTGACTGAAGGAATGGTGTAAGTGAAGGTGTGTAGCTGTAGAGGAATTGTATGAGTGGGATCTGTGAGTGAAGGTTGCTGGTTGGAATGGTGTGGGTGAAGATGTGTGGCCATGAGGGAATGATAGAGTCAGGTCATATGGGAAGGGGCTGCTGGGTATGCATCGAGGGCATGTGGCCATGGGGGAAGGAGAGTTGTATGGAGGTTGCTGGGTGTGCGGCAGGGAATGGGTGAAGGCAAGCAGTATGATGGAGGCGTGTGACCAAGGTATTGTATTGGACACATACAAACAGAGAAATGAGGTGAGGGAGGTTGTGTTATTAATCCTTTCACTGCTCAGACCCTCAAAATTAATATTGCTCTCAGTGTCTACTTTTTAAAGAAAAATAAATTCTTCTGAAGTAGAAGACTCTTTTTCTGAAGGTAATGACACCAAAAGTACGAAATTTGATGGACGAAATTACGCAGGCACAAAGTTAGCGTTCTTGGCGCAATTTATACATCAGTGATTTTACCCACTTTGAGTCCTATTTTCTGTTAATCCCTTTGTTACATTCAACCAAATCCTTAGGTATTTTACTAGAATGCCTTCTGTTCTATTTCGACTATCCTATAATCAGAATTCAGTAATTTGGCCAATTTTATACAAAATAAAAAATACCAATTTAAAAACAGAGTCCAAAATAAGCAATGTAGACTTTCTTGGTACTAAAACAATGTCTCTGTTCATCAATCACATCCTCAGGCCTCTCCTATATTACACTTGCTTTCCATTTTGAATTTTTAATCACACAAAAACGTAAGACTTACTCTTTTCTCGGATAATAAAACAAAACCAGGAATGATGGTCATGATTTACGGTGTCCCAATAATTAAATCAAGCCTAAAATCCCATAAAACAGACTGGGGATTGTAAGGGGCCTTATCCGTCCTCAGGAAAATTGGCCAAAATTTAAAATTTCCGCTATTTTGAGCTCAACGTCAAGCTACTTCTGGTCCTGAAACCAATTAAAATCATGACAATTTCAGTAGTATGTCTTCCATTCTATCAAATAAGAAACAGCCAATAAAACCATGAAATATTATACAAGAAAACACCTCGGTTGCTATTTTAAACCATACCCACAGTCACAGTTTTGTTTTCCCATCAATGCATCACATGGGGCAGGTTTTTTGTATACTGTGCACACTCACCCACACACTCAATTCTCTTACAGCTAGGTCAAAATTTAACACTCAGAGCTTATCTGAGTAAGCTGAGTTCATGACATAAAACTACATGAGGGACCCTGGCCTCAATGACAAAGATCTGAACAATGGCCACTGAAAGGGGCTAAATCATGCCTCCCTGTAAGACAATGGACTCGCTCATAGGCTCACCATGAGATGGAGGGAAAAGAGCCTGGCATGTGCCACACTTTACCCCTACATGTACTCCACCATGTTTTACAACTGTGTTAGTGCAAAAATGTGTTAAAGGATAATGTGTTAACTGACAGTCTACTGTATCACCAAACGATTGAAAAGCAGTTTTCAGCAAGGCCAGAAGGTTCTGCCACTGTATGCCTATACAAGCACCAGAACATATGACAGCAGGCTAATACACAAGGAAATCATAGGCATACATAGATGAGCACCACAACCAAATCTCAAAGATTGATTTAACCATCAGCATAGGCAAGGTGCTCCAAATTTTTACGATAGCACTTTGGCTGATCAAGCCCAAATGAGAGGGCAAGTTTGGCTGCTTATTTTTATAAACCCAACCACACCTGATTGAAATACCTCAAGAGGAGAGATACCAAACAAAGTACTCTAGAGACAATGTCCTTAAATTTTCATTCAAGTAAGTGAAAAGTTAGCTAAAAGAGAAGCAGAACAGACAATATAATTATTTATAAATGGAATGGAGGAGGAGAGGGTGCCCTTAGAGAAGTCCTGATGTCAGCTGACACTACCAGAGATGCCAGATGAATGCTCAATTGCCAGGCTCTAGGCTGGATCAGGACAATGAATTGCAGGGATCCTTCCCTGAGCTAGACAATGTCTGGACCTGCAGGGAATGAGAGGGTAGTCTCAGAGAAGGGTACACACAGGAAACTAGAAGAAATAAGGCTTCATCTCAAAAGGCACCATCCAAGCAAGAGGGGCGTGCTGTGAAGAATGCTTCTGCCGTTCTTGCCCAGAAGAGAATATTCTGTTTAAATTTAAAGATGAGCAGGTAGTAAACTGGTAGGTAGAAACCACCCAGGGTGGTACTACTGTCATGTCATTAGAGTGAAAGTGAAGGCTGTTAATTGTTTTGCATTCTGGCAGGATTGCAGGTCCTTTTTCTGTCATGAACATGTAAGGTAGCAGATAAATCTTAGAAAGTTTAAGCTAAATTTGGTATACACTTTACTTTCCTGTGTGTTTATTAATACTGTAGTTCCTTTTCCTGTAATATATCCACTTCCAATTGAAGAAACCTGGTCAGAAACTGGGCCACTAGAGTATTGATCCTTTAAAACACGAAAGATATAACAGAAAAGATGCTTTAGGAGGGCCCCAGCTAACACAGAGTACAAAACCACCATTGCTTGACAACTTGACCAATGCTTAATTACACTGATTTGCAGAAATAGCATCAATGAAGGCAAAAATGACATGATACAGACAGGCATAACAGAGCCACAGAACCTCTAGGAAACAAAACCAGGAAAGCTCTTCAGAGGAAGAGAGTAGCACTGATACATTAGTAACTGGATACACAGCCCAGAACTCAGAGAGGAAGTCAGCAGGATCACTATGTTGATAGTTACACTGCTGACTGCTTTTGCCCTCGTACAACACAGCCCCAAGATCCAAAACTAAAGCCTGGGGGCCCTGCCAACCCTGCCCATTATGAGGTACCCAATAGATGTCTTGAGGGGTTGAACTGAGGAGTAGAAGAGTAAAGCCCTCTTGGTAAATCCCAACAATGGTTTTAGGTGTAGATGACATTTAGTGCTTCTATGGCTCAAGAACTCAGCCCCAGACTACTTCAGAGACACAGCAAATGAGCTGCTTCATAGGATGCCTGTGTAGGACACGCCCTCTGATAATGAAGTCTATTTGAGTATAATCCTTGTGTGCTTATAAATGCCACAAGTCTTGAGGGCAGATCAAATAAAAAAGGTGTCAGCATTAGGAAATCATAGAGGTGAAGAACAAATGCAGACTCTGTAGATATCTTCCAAGCTACCCTAGTGCAAGGAAGAAGAGCCAGTCAGAAAGTGATCCCTAAGGAGAGAGGAAAGGGAGATGTTCAGACTATGAGAGGCTGTTGGGATCTGCTTATCACAACAATTAAGCAATGATAGGTTTTAAAACAGTTCGTAAAATATCAAGGCAGGAGAAATATGCATTAGGCAGAGAATAGGTATGGCATCTTACAAATTTTAATTTTAATATTCACTAGCAATTAAAAACTTAATTCATAATTATTTACACAAGCTATCAACACAGCTTAGAATATTTAGAGTTTGGACGTTTATATTGCACCAGATAACAGGGTATTCCACCTACTTTTCACAAGTTATCTTCTCTTATTTTTTAACAAATTGACCTCTTGTGCACCTCATGTTCTGTTAATCTATCTTTACACCTCACTATTTATACTGAATTTTTGTTTGCAAGAGGTTCAGTATATAGTTTCTCTTTAAAACTATTTAAGTAAAAAAATCAAAGCTAGGAAGTACTGCACGAGCGCACGCACACATACATTTGAAGTGCAAGACACAGAAGAATGGGATAATCATTATCAGTATAAAATTATATAATTGAACAGTATGTAAATAACTAAAAGTTATGGGCTTAAAAGGTAACTGTTTAACTGTTCAGCTGATAACAATTTATAGAGACAACCAACTTGCTGGACGAGAACTACTCAGTCATGACACTGCAATAAACTTGAGCTAAGAATCCTCAGTTATATGCTACATTATGCAAGAGCAAACATAATTACTAACAAAAAACAGCTTGTTCTTCAGACTGCTGCCTAGCATAAAAAAAAAAAAAAACACTAACACAAGAATAAATGAAGTACACCATCTGAAGATTTCTTCCTCACCTTCCCCAGGAAAATGGGAAATATTATTATGCAACTGCTTATTTTTCACCAAAGGTAATACAGTAACCAAACTTTGCTATTAAAAAATATAATTCATTAATGTACTTAGCCTGTCTAAGAATCTTATTTTAAACTGAAGAAACACTACTACCACTATAATGATGGGAAGGTACTAAACCCATATGGATTATACAGCTCCTGGGAAATGGAAGGTTATCAAGTTTAATCTGAAGAAAGGGAAGGTAGCTCAAATTTCTTGGATCAAGAGCCCTTCACCAGCATCAAGGTACTTCCCTCAAAGGGTGGAGGGAAAGATGAAATCTTCAGGTAATCCAAAGAATTTAATCCTTTGACTGTTTCGGTCGTATATATACGTCTTACGAGGTACCGTGTTTGACGTATACATACTCATAAATTCTAGCGGCTTCAAATCAAGCAGGAGAAAGCTGGTAGACCCACATGTGAGAGAATGGGTCTGTGTGGTCAGTGTGCACTATATTAAAAAAAATCCTGGAGCACGCAGTGCATAATGAGAAAAATTAAAATGCCGACTTTGTGGACTATTTTCGTATAGTATTTATGGTTGTATTCTCGTTTTCTTGGTCTCATTTGATAGAATGGAAAACATATTATAGAAATAGAGGTGATTTTGATTGATTTTACAATAAAAAGAACCTGGAAATGGAGCTCAAAGTAGGGGAAATGTTTGATTTTTGCAAATGTTCAAAAGTAAACAAATGATGTCATTGTCCAATAAATGTCCAACTAGGCATTCTAATATGCAGTCATGAATGGGTTGACATTATTTGTACAATTATTACAATATTGCAGTAGTCTGCATAACAGTAAATCTTCTATTTTTTGTTTGAATAAAAATTCAAAATAGAAAGTAAGAGTAATATCAGACAGGCCTTGAGATGTGACTGATGAACAAAGAAAATGTTATTTTAGAACCAGGAATGTCTGCATTGTTCATTCTGGACCTTATTTTGAAATTGTCATATTTTTTATTTTTCATGAAATTGGCCAAATTGCAAATTTCTGACCACGTTATTGGGTAGTTGACATTGGTAAATGGGCAGTTTCTTGTACTCAATCGATAGAAAAAATGGAGTTCTAAAGAAACAGCTACAAGTTTGGTCGACTGGAACAATGAAATTAGCCGAAAATAGGGCTCAAATTGGGCGAAATCGCCGATTTGTAAATATCGCCGAGGTCGCTAACTTCGCGAGAGTGTAATTCCGTCAGTTTTCCATCAAATTTTTGGTGTCATTACAATCGGGAAAAGATTCATCATCAATTCATAAGAAAACATATTTTTTTTTTTTTAAATTTTGCAACACTAGGAGACACCTCAGGATTGGGGGTTGCGACAGTCAAGGGGTTGATGGATCAACTAAATACAGTACCCACTGCACAATCTAAAATCAGAATAATTTTTGAACTACAGGACACAAATGCCATATTTACTACACATCCTGTAGTGAGCACGAGCCTAAATGAAGTGTTTCCCCAATACATAATTTTTCGATGTTCCTTTATCTTATGTATACCCTCTATATTTATTCCCAATTTTTAACACCTTTCCCTAAATCCTTCAGTGTGCTACTTTGTCATTTTATATATGCTACTAATCCTAATTTTTAACACTTTCCCCACATCAATACCATTAAATTTTTGTACTGATACTGCAAATTTTTTCTCTTCTCCTTCCCTTCACTTAATTTAAACTATTACTCCGCTTATTATATTTGCAATGACTGGAGAAAGCTGGCTAAGAATGGAAAAAATATATTTTCAATCTCAAGAATCTATTGCTGATGTATTTCAATTTGCAATGCCATGAACCTGGTAGCCTTGCCTCAAAATGTTAAAACTAAATGTTCACAAAAATCCCTGTAAACTGAACTATTCTTTGCTTTAAAAATGTAATCATGAAAGTTATAAGAAAAGTTATCTATTTAATTCTTCATTAACTTCTGTTTCACTAAATCTGTCTATACTTGGCTTAAGTTTAAAATGTGGTTATCCACTGTCTCATAAAAACTCTTACACTAAAGTCAACAGATATACAAAAAAAAAAAAAAATATTCATACCATTATTTGGTAACAAGAAAACAAAAAACTCAATACATGTGCAACACTAAAACTATTTGGTGGTAACTCCTGCGCCCTAAGAATATCGTAACACAACCTTGTCTTGCCAATGATCAATATATATATGGTATGACTTGTTAACTAATGTAAATGCCACCCTTATCACCTTACTGGCACAAACAAAACTTTGTTTCATCTTTACAAAAACTACAATGAAAATTCATAAAACAAAATATGTATACTCACAAAAGTAGATTAAAAGGAGTCTGAATTTAGTAATGCTCAATACATTAACCAGTTCTCTAAATGAAAGAAAATTACACACTGGATTATCCAAAGTCATGAAAGGAATAACAATTATCATGGTCAGCATATAATGGTCATAACCAAATAAAATTGCCAGGTTTTTATCAATTAATCTTGCATTCCTAATTTTACTGTTATAGTGTATATGTCATTGCACCAAGCAAGTGCTTAAATAAGCCGAATTTTCCAAGTATTTGAGATCAAAGTTACTGGTACCTACATACCATTTCAATCATGACAAAAAGAATAATAATAAAAAAGTTTAAATAAATATTATAAATATGTTAGTATTGAAGCTCACTTTAAGGCTGGCCTTAAGAGATTAGCCTTAAATATGCTAACCAATATTAAAGATAAAAACTACCTTCTTCAATGGTATCTTCATATACATTATTACAGTTAAATCATACAAGATACATACATTACTCTACACTGTATATTGCATTCAATGTATGCAAAACAATACAAAGGATGTACAGGAGGGCCCCACTTCATGGCGTTCTGCTTATCTGGCGGTTTTCATTTATACCCAATGTTCATTATGTTCGACGCTTGTTCCTTTTTTTTTTGTTGTTGTAAAGGAGTTCATAAAAAAATATAATAAGAGGCTCTCTCTAGTCCTTGACCACCAGAGAAACTGTGTACATTACTGGGAGTAACTGCAGAAAACATTCCTTTCGTATGCCTGAACTCATACATAGCATCACTTGACCTCAAAGCTTAAAATAATAATTATATTTGCTCCCAAATAATCTGCTTCACCACATTTTCCTTGAATATCTCAAAATCAACTACCGTCCTGCCAATCAAATGTAAAACGGAAGACTGTACTTGTTTTATATGATGGTAGGAATGTTAGTGTCTTTTCTCTGTCTCATACACATGGAAGGTTTCAGGCACATCTTGCTACTTCTACTTACGCTTAGGTCCCACTACACTTGCATGTACAAGCATGCATGTACAAGCATGCATATACACAGCCCTCTGGGTTTTCTTCTATTTTCTTACTAGTTCTTGTTTACTTCCTCTTATCTCCATGGGGAAGTGGAACAGAAATCTTCCTCCGTAAGCCATGCGTGTTGTAAGAGGCAACTAAAATGCCAGGTGCAAGGGGCTAGTAACCCATTCTCCTGTATAAATTACTAAATTTAAAAAGAGAAACTCTCATTTTTCTTTTTGGGCCACCCTGCCTCAGTGGGATACAGCTGGTTTGTTGAAAGATGATGACCTCAAAATCAAGTTATTTACCTATTTACTGACGGCACGTTGTTAATAATGAACAGAATGACACAATTTTCATAATAAATATTCAACAATAAATGTGGGGAAGGGGGGGGGGGAGGCAAAGGGCAAATATTCAATGTCCGCAACTTAACTATTTTTTTCCTGGGAGGGGGGGGGGGGAAATTAAGTTATATTATAGTATTTCTCTTCATAATAAAATCAGTTTAGAATAGTTTTATCAGCAGGCAGTGCTCAAAACAGCAGTGCCAATATGTGCTGTGTTACTGCCAAATCCATTTGTTTGTTGGTCAAAAATATTTTAAGTAATGTGTGTACTGTACATTCATTAGATTTATTTTTTATTGATGGCCTAGCTCTATTGTGCACTTTATATGTGATAGTGTAAACACATTATCAGGCTTTTATATGCATTTGAAAATGAAAAAATGCTATGTTCCACTTCTTGACAATTTTCGCTTTTCGGCTAGAGTCCAGAACCTAATTCACCATATAAGTGGGGCCTTCTTGTACAGTATTAATAATTTATTTGCACCCAAATTTAAAGTGAAAGTATCTCCCAGTCCCTTCCCTCTGACTATAACACACACATGCACACACACAAACTTTAAAAAACTACTCTATGTTCACACACAAACTTTTCAATTCAACCAATTTTGTTGAAGCACAAAGAAAAGTTTCATGTACAGCACCAGACATCAACAGTATAAAGGTTTGTGAAGCTGCTAAAGAGCAGCGTTTTTTCCATAGCTGTGGATGTGTTGAGCAACACCAGATGGCAGCGGGACAATACAGGTATAAACAAGTTCACAGGGTAATACACCGGACAGTCTAAAAGCTACATTTAGTTTGGAATAACTTGAGCAAGATCCAATTCTCATATTAGTTAAATGTGATTAGATAACAAAAATTAAGAGAGAAACAGAGAGAGAAATAAATTATCAAAAGGGCTCTTAGCCAAGTATCACTTATCCCAAACACAAACTGTGTCAACTACCACACTTCCAAAGCACCTAACAGTGAATGCACAGTCTTTGTCAAACAAATTACAACTCATGCTGTGCCCACTTATAAGAAACTCTATGGATCCCTTAAACACTTGAGCTAAGCATAAAATCATATGACAAAGATTCTTAAATATTCTAGTTTTGTGCCAAATTGTAGTTGGTAACTTCGTCTTCATTAACATCTTTGGTGATACAAAACACTACTCAGTTGTGGAAGTACAAAAGATTAGATGATTTTGCTGGGTGATGCTACCTTTCTCTTCATGGAGCTTTTTCTTTGGTCTGGTACATCAGTTAATCAGTTACCGATGACCATTTTTCTTATGTTGGTACATGTCATACTTGGTACGAAAGAGAGCCCCACAGGTACAGGAAAAAGGTTCTTTACCTGGCAATATATAAAGAAAAACATTAATTATTAACACTTTCATTAATGATGAACACTAAGTTTTAAAAGATGTTTTACATATTATCATATGCCTAGTATTTAGTCATTTATGTGTGAGACCCCTGTAAACAAAGCTGAAGAGGATAGGAGAGTTTCAGTGGGAAGAAATGAATGGGATTAGGTCAGGGGTTTCTAATAGAGTTAGAGCTAAGAAAAGAGTAGCAATAATGTTAAAGGATAAGTTATGGCAGGAAAAGAAAGGTTTTTTTTTTTTTAATACATCAGCAGTTTCTCACCAAGGAAGGAAAAGAAGGAATATAAATGTATAAATTCAAGAATTATGTAGTAAAATAAGGGCTGGATATGAAAAGTGGGTTATAGTAAGCATTTATGGACCTGGAGAAGAAAGAGGTGCAGAGGAGAGAGATTTTGGGAAATATTAAGCGAGTGCATGGGGAATTTTGAACCAAGTGAGACAGTACTTGTGTGGGGATCTCACGGATATATCGGATCATTATTTAGCTGTAGCTACAGTTAGAGTAAGAGGCAGATGGGACAAAAGGAAAATGACAATAGCAAGTAAGAGAGAGGTGAAAGTGTATAAACTAAGGGAGGAGGAAGTTAGGGTGAGATACAAGCAACTATTGGCAGACAGGTGGGTTAATGCAAGTATGGGTAGTAGAGGGACTGGAGAGGGACAGGATAGTTTTAAAAAATGCAGTATTAGAATGTGGAGCAGAAGTTTGTGGCTATAGGAGGGTGGGAGCAGGAGGGGCACTGTCAAGAAATTTTGCTGAAGAAAAAATTTTGGAGTGAGGTGAACAAGTTAAGAAAGGCTAAGGAATAAATGGATTTGTCAGTTAAAAACAGAGTACGGGAATTAGTAGATAGGGGGACATACTGTTGGAGTGATTGGTATTTTTATTTAATAAATGTATGAAAGAGAGGAAAGTACCTAAGGACTGGCAGAGAGCATGTATAGTTCCTTTATATAAAGGAAAGGGGGACAAAAGATTGTAAAAATTATAGGGGAATAAGTTTATTGAGTATACCAGGTAAAGTGTATGGTAGGGCTATTATTGAAAGAATTAGAGGTAAGACAGAGAGCAGGACTGCAGATGAGCAAGGAGGCTTTAGAATGGGAAGGGAATCTGAAGATCAAGTGTTTACATTGAAGCATATATGTAAACAGCACTTAGATAAAGGTAGGGAAGTTTTCATTGCATGTATGGATTCAGAAAAGGCATATGATAGAGATGATAGGGGAACAATGTGGCAGATGTTGAAAGTGTATGCAATAGGTAGTCAGTTACTAAATGCTGTAAAGAGTTTTTATGGGGATAGTGAGGCTCAGGTTAGGGAGAGTAGGAGAGAGGGAGATTATTTCCCAATAAAAGTAGGTCTTAGACAGGGATGTGTAATGTCATCATGGAAGTTTAACATATTTATAGATGGGGTTGTAAAAGAAGTAAATGCTAAGGTGTTGGAGAGAGGGGTGAGATTAAATTATGGGGAATCAAATACAAAATGGAAGATGACACAGTTACTTTTTGCTGATGATACTGTGCTTCTAAGGGATTCTAATGAAAATTTGCAAAGGTTAGAGGACGAGTTTGGAAGGGTGTGTAAAGGTCGAAAGTGAACATAGATAAGAGAGTAAGGTGATGAGAATATCAAACTATTTAGATGAAGAAAAACTGGATATCACATTGGAGGGAGTGAGTATGGATGAAGTAAACATTTTCAGATATTTGGGAGATGACTTGTCAGTGAATGTGTTTATGAAGGATGAGGTTAACCATAGAACTGATGAAGGAAAAAAGGTGAGTGATGCATTGGGGTATCTTTAGAGACAAAAAGCATTATTCATGGAGGCAAAGAAGGGAATGTACGAGAGTGTAGTGGTACCAACAAAACAGAATCCCTTGGAGTGTATAAATCTGTAGGGATAGGAAGGAGGGGTAGGGGTCAGCCCCGAAAAGGTTGGAGGGGGTAAAAAAAAGGTTTTGTGGGCAAGGGGCTTGGACTTCCAGCAAGTGTGCATGAGTGTGTTAGGTAGTAGTGACTGGAGACAAATGGTTTTTGGGACCTGACGAGCTGTTGGAGTTCGAGCAGGGCAATATCTCGTGAAGGTATTCAGGGAAACCGGTTAGCCGGACTCGAGTCCTGGAAATGGGAAGTACAATGCCTGCACTTTAAAGGAGGGGGTTTGGGATATTGGCAGTTTGGCCTGACATCTAAGCAGTCGTATCTGAGAGCCTCTGCAAAGACGGTGATTATGTATGAGTGATGGTGAAAGTGTTGAATGATGAAAGTTTTTTCTTTCTTTTTGAGTCATCCTGCTTCGGTGAGAAATGGCTTACGTGTTAAAAAAAACAACCTATAAACTAAAGATAAACACAAAAAGTATGTGTAGAGTATCTGTCTTGTGTTTACCAGATGGAAGATCAAGCCTCGACCATAATACTGTAAGGTAAACAAGATTTAATATTGAGTTATGATCCTGCCATTAGTAATTTTTTTTTAAGAATGCCATGCAAAAATCAAACAAATGGTTTAAGAGAACTTAAACAAGAGTTAAGTTTTCTTACCACATTCGTTGGCTGTTTGCCTGGCATTTCTGAGAATTAATTTCTAATTATGATACTGTCATATCTAATATGCAAAGACACTGGTAATTGTCTATTTTACCCTAAATACATCATTGAGGTTTACTAAGTTACATCTATGTCTTTTATTATCTGTAATCATTATCTACCTTCATGTGACAAGGCAATACCCAGATGGAAGCTTAACCTATCAGTGAATGACTGAATATTATTTATACTCTAGGATAAATCAATACCACAAAGCAGATCAATCTCGGACTTATCTCCACCCCTCCATTAGTGTGCAGGCACTGTACATCCCACCTCCAGGACTAAGTCTGGCAAGCCAGTTTCCTTGAATTAATTCATAAAATGTTACCTTGCTCATACTCCAACAGCATGTCAAGTCATAAAAACCACTCATCCTCTAATCCTATTTAACACACACCTAGTGGATATTCAAGCCCCTCGCATACAAAACCTTCTTTACATCCTCTCTCCAACCTTTCCTACGATGACCCCTCTCCTGCCTACCCTCCACTACAGATTTATACATGCTTCAAGCCATCCTATTTTACTCCATCCTCTCTAAATCTCCAAACCCCTTCAACAACCTCTCGTCAGCCCTCTGGATAATACTTTTAGTAACCCCCACACCTCCTTCTAATCTCCAAACTTTAAATTCCCTGAATAATGTTCACACTATATATTGCCTTCAGGCACATCTCCACTGCCTCCAGTCTCCTCCTCACTACAACATTCACAACCAATGCTTCACACCTATGTAAGTGCTAGTATCACTATACCACTTCCATGGATGTTCTTAGTCTCTGTGGATGCCTCAATGCACCACCCACTTTTCTCTTGTCAAACTTACCTATTAATTCCTCTACAACAGTTTCTCCCACTTTAGCATTTACATCCTAAAAATTCACTTAACATCTCCTAAAATATCTCTCTCCTCTACACTCCTCTCTTCTTCAAATGCATACACTTAGTATAACCCACTTTTTGCATCCAACTCTTATTTTAATCCACCCAATTCTTTTAATTCATACATTTATATTCCCTCTTTTTCCTTCCACAACTGACCATTCAATATTACCACTACTTCTTCCTTAGCTCTAACTCTCTCAGAAACCCTGACTGAATTCCTTTTATTTCTCTCCACTGGAAATCTCCTACCCCTTCCCTTCAGCTTTCGTTTGTTTAGACCTAGGACGTCCAACTTCCTCTTACATTATTAATAATTAAAAATAACCTATATAAAAGTGGAGAAATATGAAAGCGGGGGATTTATAAGAACATAAGGTAGAGGAGCACTTGTTCAACTGAAAACTCTTTATTAAAGTTACTACAAATTCTCTTATACATCTATGAAGACAAGTGTATCAAAAAATATCCTACCCTCAGCATGCATAATAGCCATGTGAGTACGTAAAGTTGCAGCATCCCGGTACATTCTCCTGCAAGTGGGGCAAGGTCGAGGTTCATGGAATGCAAGCTTCCGCTGATATTGCTCTGAAATTAAATTTTTGTTTTATAATATGTGTACTACAGTAAAATATATGTGATTTGACAAGAAAAATCAATTCAGAGGCAAAATCTAATCAGTCATATCAAACAATATCAACCAAAATATACCTGTGAAATATTAAAAGTCACATAACAGATAAAATACAAAATAAAATTAGATTTTTCATTCCATTTTAAAAAGTAAACAATGTAAGCAATTCACAAGAGGCCCTCCTATAATAACAGTGGATAAAGCATATGAATTTGACACCCAGACCTTAGAATTTGACACTGTAAAAGAAAGAAAAAATGGGGAGCTAAAAATAGTATAGTACAACCTCTCCTCAATTAACAATGGAGATAGGGGCCTAAGACCCCGTTGGTAAATGAATTCATCACTAATTGAGGAATCGCCCCTTAATGGCACTTCAAAAGTGTTACCACCCAAAATTAAAACATTTAGTTTTATGTTTGCTGGAAAATTCTTGTCAATCCGTTTATTATTAACCCTTTGACTGTCGCAACCCCAAATCCTGAAGTGTCTCCTGGTGTTGAAAATTTTTTGGAAAAAGCAAAAGAAAATCTTATGAAATTATAAGAGAATCTTTTCTCAATGATAATGACACCAAAAATACGAAATTTGATCGAAAATTTACGGAATTACGCTCCTGCAAAGTTAGCGATATCGACGATATATACGTATTGGCTATTTTGCTGAATTTGAGCCCTATTTTCAGCCAATTCCATTGTTCCAGTTGACCAAACTCATAGCTATTTCAACTACCCAATAAAGTGGTCAGAAACTGGCAATTTGGCCAATTTCACACAAATTAAAATAGATGCCAATTTCAAAATAGGGTCCAAAATAAACAATGCAGACATTCTTGGCACTAAAATAACATACCCTCTGTTCATTAGTCACGTCTCCAGGCCCCTCTTATATTACTCTTGCTTTCTATTTTGATTTTTTTATTCACACAAAAAATAGAAGATTTACTGTTATGGAGACTACTGCATTACTGTAAAAATGGTATAAATAATATCAGTGCACTAGTGAAAGAATATTAGACTCCCCAGTTGACGTGTAGTGGACGTGTGGTGTGATTTGCTTACTCTTGAACATTGGTAAAAATTGAACATTTCCGCTACTTTGAGCTAAATTTCAAGGTCGTTTTCATTGTGAAACTAATCAAAATCATCTCTATTTCTGTAATATGTTTTCCATTTTGTCAAATGAGGCCAAGAAAACGAGAATACAAACATAAATACTATAGGAAAATACACCTCAAAGTCGACGTTTTAATCCAAAAACACAGTCGGAGTTTTTTTTCTCTCATTATACACTGTGTGCTGGAGGATTTTTTAAAACAGTGCACAATGACCACACAGACCCATTCTCTCACATGTGGGCCTACCAGCTTTCTCCTGCTTGATTTGAAGCCGCTACAATTAATGAGTATTTATTTTATTTTATTTTATTATCACACTGGCCGATTCCCACCAAGGCAGGGTGGCCCGAAAAAGAAAAACTTTCACCATCATTCACTCCATCACTGTCTTGCCAGAAGAGTGCTTTACACTACAGTTTTTAAACTGCAACATTAACACCCCTCCTTCAGAGTGCAGGCACTGTACTTCCCATCTCCAGGACTCAAGTCCGGCCTGCCGGTTTCCCTGAACCCCTTCATAAATGTTACTTTGCTCACACTCCAACAGCACGTCAAGTATTAAAAACCATTTGTCTCCATTCACTCCTATCAAACACGCTCACGCATGCCTGCTGGAAGTCCAAGCCCCTCGCACACAAAACCTCCTTTACCCCCTCCTCCAACCTTTCCTAGGCCGACCCCTACCCAGCCTTCCTTCCACTACAGACTGATACACTCTTGAAGTCATTCTGTTTCGCTCCATTCTCTCTACATGTCCGAACCACCTCAACAACCCTTCCTCAGCCCTCTGGACAACAGTTTTGGTAATCCCGCACCTCCTCCTAACTTCCAAACTACAAATTCTCTGCATTATATTCACACCACACATTGCCCTCAGACATGACATCTCCACTGCCTCCAGCCTTCTCCTCGCTGCAACATTCATCACCCATGCTTCACACCCATATAAGAGCGTTGGTAAAACTATACTCTCATACATTCCCCTTTGCCTCCAAGGACAAAGTTCTTTGTCTCCACAGACTCCCTTTTCCCCTCATCAATTCTATGATTCACCTCATCTTTCAAAGACCCATCCGCTGACACGTCCACTCCCAAATATCTGAATACATTCACCTCCTCCATACCCTCTCCCTCCAATCTGATATCCAATCTTTCATCACCTAATCTTTTTGTTATTGAGTATATATATATATATACAGTGGACCCCCGCATAACGATTACCTCCGAATGCGACCAATTATGTAAGTGTATTTATGTAAGTGCGTTTGTACGTGTATGTTTGGGGGTCTGAAATGGACTAATCTACTTCACAATATTCCTTATGGGAATAAATTCGGTCAGTACTGGCACCTGAACATACTTATGGAGTGAAAAAATATCGTTAACCGGGGGTCCACTGTATATATATATATATATATATATACGTCCGAAACACTGGCTCGTAAGACATACATATACGGCCGAAACAGTCAAAGGGTTAACTGTAATTCAGCACGAAATAGGTCAATGACTTACTTCCAAGATATTCCATGAAATGCATGTATAGCTGGTTATTTAAGAAATTTTTTTTCAAGAAATTCACACTTTTTTTTCAGTTTTTACATAGAGTAAGAGTGATCTTGTATTATTATTATTATTATTATTATTATTATTGCCAACGACATACCTTGTTCACTGAGTTTAATCATTTCTTAAGCTGCCACAAGACAGATAATGTCAACACACAGACGAACACACCAGCTAACCCCTTTACTGTGTACTTCTTTTGTACTTTTTCCATTTTCCTCTTGCTTTTCCTCTTCCAAGTGCTGCTGCATGTTTATTGTGCACCCCACAGTACAAGACAGAGTTATAAGTGCAGCAGCAATTGGAAGAGGAAAATGGAAGAAGTACAAAAGAAGTTCACAGTAAAGGGATTAGCTGGTGTGTTCGTCTATGTGTTTACATTCTGTCTCTCACATGGCAGCTTAATTAAGAAATGATTCAACTCAGTGAACAAGGTATGTCGATGGTGATAATACGTAATGATAATAATAATTATTATTAATACGTAATTAATGAAGATAAAGATTTATTTCTTGTAATAATAACAATCGCTCTGGAGTGCTTTAAATGTCAGCTACCAAGCCTATGTGAAATACATATGACATTTAACCCTTAAACTGTCCACACATAGATATACGCTCACGTCCGGCAGGCTCCGAACGTAGATCAACGTTTTATTTTTCATTCCTTCAAAATTGGTGCTATAGGCCTGAGTCGCCTAGACATGAGAGAATGGATGTGCGCACTCAGTGTGCACACTGAAAAAAATCGGGGATGCTGGGGTACCATGTGGTAACACCAGTTAGTTTCAGCTCCATCTTGGATCAACATCATGGCAAACCCCTGTAATTCACTGATGCCTCATCGTATTAACACACTACTATTCATCGAAAGTGATACAGAATGCGAGTTTAGTGGTTTTGACTCCTATATAGCCACTAAAGATCAAGGAATTAGTGAAACTTTTGTTGATAACCCAGCTGACCCTCAGGCCATGACCTCTGGGGTGGCCGGTGTGGATAGTGTGGCCAGTGTGGCCATACCAGACCCTCAGCCCAGCACTTCTGAGGTGGCCAATGTGGCCACAACAGACCCTCAGCCCATCACCTCTGGGGTTGCTAGTGTTACTTCCCAAAGGCAACTCCGCAAGAGGAAATTATCATTTTCCATGCGTTTTGGTGATGACAATAGTGAAAGTGATATAAGTGACAATGATGAAATCGATTTTATGCCAACAGATGATTCGCTGAGTGAAGGTGATTATCATTATTCCCCAGCGAAACATACTTTTAGGCATCGTAACCTACGTTCAGGCAGTGTGCCATATGTAGTCGGCAGCAAGGGTCGTGGCAGGTCACGATCCAAAACCCCAGCCACTGATAGCGATAGTGATAATGAAGGTGAATATGCTGGGATGGAGGAAGAGGGGGGTGGCATAGTGCCTGGACCTCGTGGCGCAGTGCATGGGCAGACAAAGGACCGCCCAGCACCCTCTCAACCATGTGCTGCCTCCACTCCTGTCCCCCTTCCTGCTCCCCCATGCCCCATGCCACAGGTCCACCCTGCACCATCTGATCGCGAATGGAACTGGACAGAAAGTACACCATTTGTGCCACATCCTTTCAATTTTGATGCCAGTGGAAGTGGCATCATGCCACACTGTCCCATCACAAATGAGTCTACAGAGTTAGACTATTTTCAACTATACTTTGATGAGCCGATAATAAACCTAATTGTTACCCAAACCAACATGTACTACCAGTATACAATGGACAACACAGATGTTTCAGAGGCTTCATGGCTGCACAGGTGGAAAGATACAACTGTGGCTGAAATGTATTTATTCCTTGGCACTGTCATGCTTATGCCACACACATATAAGAACAATATAGCACACTACTGGTCCACAGACCACTTCATCAGTACTCCAGTCTTCCGTGACCTCCTTCCCTGCAACAGATTCACTCTGTGCTATGAATGTTGCACTTCTCAGACAGGAATACACCAAACAGAAATGACCTCTTATACAAAATCTGGGAATTGTTTATGTATCTGAAGCAAAAATTCAGTGCCTACTTTTATCCATTCAAGAACATTGTTGTCGACAAGTCCTTGGTTCTGTTCAAGGGACGACTGTCATTCAAACAATATATACCAAGCAAATGTAATCGCTTTGATATAAAACTCTTTGTTATGTGTGACTGTGAGACTGGTCTTGTGTTGGATGTCATTGTCTACACAGGATAAAAATACACTCAACGATACCAGGCGCATGTTGGGCATTTCTGGGGA